ATCAGGATAGGAAATTGTGAATTGTGTGAAAATGCATATTGGCCTACATATCAGATAATACTTTTTTCAAAAATATTTATGACCGCAGGCGTTCTTAACTGTTGCGGCTAATTTGTGTCAACGCAATTCCTGTGATCAGTGGAAGTAAATCCCTGCAAATGTTCTCGCCTCGTTTAACAATGAGAGTTGTGATAACCTTTGAGATAAGGAAGAGCCCACAATGGTAGAAGCTGTGATATTATTACCTGTGTTGTACCATCCACTTTGATTTAACCGTCCTCTCTTTGTTGAAGTAGAAACTGCTCCACAAAAAGAGAAATAGTTTTGAGACAGTTATGAGACAGTTATGAGACTCCACCCCCATTTCATTACTCTAGCACCAAGTTACCTGTTTCCAAAGATGCATGGATGTGTTTTGCTTAATGAGTAGATTGAACCTGATACTTACAAAAAAAAGATGCAGTATGGTTGCCTCCCATGACTGTTATACTATTATATATTATGTCATGCATTCATAGTTATTACTCATGCATTGATGTAAAAGTAGGATTTGTTTTTATTGTTTTATAAGCTCTTTGCATGTTTTGTGTACAAAAAATCTTAATTTGTAAAGTAACTAGTAACTAAATCTTGCAAATAATTGGAGTAAAGGGAAAAGCACAACACTTCCCTCTGAAATGTAGCAGAGTAGAAGGAGAAAGTGACATTAAAAGAAAAGTACCTCCAATTTGTACTTAAGTACAGTACTTGAGTAAATGTACATTCCACCACTGCTAGGCAGTAATATTATCAGTTAAAGCCTGCCAATGGGGAGAGTTTTCATCTCACTCTTCTTGATTTTTATCACCTGGCTGACCTTGTTTCAGAATATTGCCATAATACTGTTGCTAGGAATTTCCGAAACAAGTGAAGTTACTTTATTCATAATAGTCATCCCCTTGAAATCCCCTGAAACTGTTGCTTTTTGTAGAACTACATTTTATATACTATATGAGACAAGATTGACATGGAGTCTTTATTTATTTATTTTGTTGTGTTACAGCATAAACAACCCTGCCAGGATGTTCTTTCAGTGTCTGGGTTGTTTTAATTAATTAATTAAATTTAAAAAAGCAGTTATACTGTAGTTATTTCAGGAGATCACAGAGTGCAAAGCTTTACTAAAAATGTCTAGTATTACTATTCACACTGTTCACAACTATGTTGTGAGCTGTGCGCCACTTATATGATTTATAATGCAGTCAGCCTATGATTATTGTCTTGTTGCATACAATCAGCTTTTATGTGTATGTGAGAGAGTGTTTTTGGTTCTCAGAAGTTCATAACACCTAAGCTGACAAAAAATGCTTTTAAGGTTTTAAGGTAGTCAGCCAAATAGCTTGTAAAAGACTTCTGAAATTGTGGTGATTTGTTGACTTCATAAGAGGATATTCTTGATCCTCTTATCTTCCCCATACCAAATGCTGACAAACAAAAATGACAAAATATAATTTTCAACAAAAATTGAAGTTATTGCCTTTTACTCTGCCTGACAGGTGTTTTTTTTTTTTTTTTCAGTTTTAGGATGGACATTTCTCTTGAATGAAGTTTTGTCAGAGCAGTGCCACCTATACTTAAGGCTAATATAAATGTTGTAGGGTTCTCCACTCTCACAGCAGTTGGTATGTCTGAACCCGAGCAGAGTGTGTGTCTCTTCGACACTGTGTACTGAAATATTCAAGAGATCCAAGTTTATGCCATCTGTGCCCCAGCGTTCAGTCCTCCCATCATGGTTGAACATAAGGCCAACATCAGAGCAGATATGTGTGAGAAGTGTCAAAATAGATTCTCCGGTGTTCTCTGTATTGCAAATCTCAATATTGCCTGAATAGCATAAACAAAACTCTCCGTTTGCTCACACACACAAAAACCCACACAAAATTTTGCCACTGTAGAGTCAAAATTTCCATATCCATGAGAGAGGAAAGGAAAAGAGGAAACATTTACACAAGACTGCTTCCACACAGTTGCAGAGATCTTTTCTCTCAGGTGTCTTTTTTTTACAATGTCATTGTGGAGCAAGCAAGCTCCTGTGAGAGATTTACAAATTTCTCACTAAATGAGAGATTTCCTGAGACAAAAAAAGCGGAGGAGGAAGGGTGCAATCAGTCCAGGTTTGTTCTAGACAACATCGCTTCCTTCCTTGCTATTAGAAGAGTGTCAGAGCAGACATTCAGATGTGGTTTTCACCAAGCACTTTCCCAGGACAGTAATGCAGCGCAATTCTAATGGTGTCATTCAAAGCAGCTGCTTTTCTCAGCAATAAACTAAACGCCTTGCCTAAGCAATTCAGAACGCCTCCAAAGATTGCAATACAGTCAACAAAGAACTTATCTTCCAAGTGAAACTATTCATCAATGAATGTGTTTTGTGTGCCCAAAAGTAGAAGGCGTATTGAAAAGACCTCAGTTACACCTGAATGGCTACTTCTCCTTTTTGACCATTGTCACTGCGTCACATTTGAATTCACCTGTATCCTAACTGCCACTGCCAGTTAAATTCTACCTTAAAACAACAATTCTGATGGATTAGCAAAATTATAAATATCTGCAGTTGACATGTATGGCTTTGAGGTTTCTTAAAACTGACATGTGTCATTAGGTAAGCTGCTTCTCACACATTTGTTTTGTGTGGGTCAGTAACACCAACAAAAAATAAATAAATAGCACCCAGCCCTGCTCATTTCCCACACAGAGAATGAGGTCATCAATCCATGACATGTGTTAAGGAAACGAAAATAATATCAGTTGTTTTTAGCACTTATCATCAAAGGCACGCACAGAATTTAACTAAGCAGCACAAAGGGCCTTAAAAGTCTATTTATCTTGCCATATCTGTAAAACAACACTATTCCTTCAGCCATGCTGATGGAAATGCATTGTCTTTTTAAGGCACTGTTTATAGAAATGTGAACAATAGCAAACTGTGCAATATTTCAACAACTTTAAAAATGGCACATGTTGCTTCAATAGATCACAGCTTTAGAGGAATGTGTGTTCAAGCAGAAGAAGAAAGAAATAAAGAATCTTTGAATTTAAATAAAATTGGGCCATTGTTAACACTAGACCTTTCTTTTCTACCTGTTAAGCACAGACCTGCCTAGTACCAGGGAGGACGATTTTTGCGTAAAATGCAAATGAGAAATCCATGTATGATCCAAGTATTTTGTCACTCTATGCATGCTACACACCTCCGTGAAGCAAGGAGGCTCAGCCAGAATGTCAAACTAACCATTTTTATCCATACCAAACACACATCAAACACCGAGCATCTAAATTAACTTATATCACAACATAAGTCACTCTGTAGACGGCACAGTGGTACAGTGGTTAGCGCTGTTGCCTCACAGCAAGATAAGATAAGATATTACTTTATTAAGAAGGTCGTGAGTTCAAACCCCGGCCTTTCATTGTGGAGTTTGCATGTTCTCCCCGTGTCTGCATGGGTTTTCTCCGGGCGCTCCGGTTTCCCCCACCATCAAAAACATGTTAGGTAGGTTCACCAGTAAGTGCTGTTTGGCATGGCATTTCAATCTGGAGAAGGACTTACTTTTGCCGTTTTCGCTGTTTTGAGTCCAAAAACAGCTGTTGTCTGTGTGTGAAAATATCTCCTGGGCCGCCATCTTGGTATTGCAAATCCGTGAGCTGGTAGGTTTCGTTTCTCTCGTCAAAATGAAGGAGAGAAGACATCTAATTTATCAAACGATTCGTCTACTCAATACGAAGAGAAAGAGCCTACTTACTGTAGGATGTTCTGTTCTCAAGTTGTGGGCCTGTAAAACATGGGAGTGCTTTTGGTCACAGGAATGTTGATCAGTTTACACAGTTTTTATCAATATGTCAATGTTTTGGAAGCTTTATGTTATTTGGAACGCGGTTGTATGGACAGAAATAGTGTTTTGAAGAAAACTCCCTATACCTGTGAACATATAAACAGTAAATATAACCAAAACATGGACATTAGCCTGGTATATTTTTGAAAAATTGTGTAATAACTGTTTTTAGTACTGTATATTAGTTTCTTTTCATCAAATTTACAGTTCAGTTGTATTCCAGGTGTATTAGAAGATATTCAGTTGCATTATAATCTACAGGATGATGGTTTTGATGGTGATATTGCTATTAAAATATAGATTTTATAGATTTTTGAAAATGTCATATTTTCCTTTACTGCATCTCCATTTACTCTTTAATAGCAAAATATATAGGTTGATTCATATTCCTTAGCTTTTGACCTATCAAAGAATTGTGCATCTAGGCCTAATGGTTGAGGAGTTATTACTGATTCATTTTGGGTATGTTATTTTAGGCGTTTTTCCTGGAAATAGGTGTTTCCAAGAGGTAACACGTGTGACTCATATGTACTGTATATGACCCAAAAAGGCAAGAATTTAGTTGTTAATAACATTAAAAATAATAATTTTCTAAAACTATACACATCAAACACTACACTAAAGAATATGCATTACATTGTTTAGCATATAAACTGAAATTTGTATGAAATTGTATCCCCAGTATGTTTCTGTCAGAAAAGCCTCAAGGAGTTACAAGTATTTAAGCTTTTGTGGGAAGAACACTAAGATGATCACTGGAGGACACACAGTACTGGAATGTGTGGGTGCAAATTTGTGTACAGTCCTTTGCGGAAGGGAGGGAGTCGTCCTTCCGTGAAGTTAGTCAGTGTTGTTTTGGCCCTTTGTTTACATAGCCTAATGTTCGTGTTCAAGTGAGAACAATGGCATGGAGGGTTCCAAAATGGCGACATAAGTCACATTGTTAACAATGCAACAAAAAGTGACTGAATGTTGCTAAAACTTCTTTTACACTAGGCTTACAGTGGAACCAAATGAAAAAGTGTATAGGGTATTGTGTGTTGGGGTGGTTAGTGAAGGGAGGGTAAAGGCTGCGTGTTTTTGAAAGCAGATTAAAGATCAAGACAGGAAGGGCCAGGTTTAGGGAAACAGGAAAACTGATGCAAGGAAATGGACTACGTCACCAGCCAGCCCACCACAGTCTGTGCTAAAACTAAAATCCAGACCCAATGCAAGTATGGAGTCTTTACTCACGTCGCCAATGAAACTTGTACTTTTGACAGGTATGTGAGTTTTTTTATCCTCTAGCATGGCAGGTGTCTTAAAGGGAGACAGCAGTGGATGTACTGTATCTATATTTAAGGGCTCTCCATATTAACTATGATGGTTTTGGGCTATGTTATGGGGCCACACTTGATATTGATGTACGATTTATAAATAACTTATTCATGTTGTGTTTTTTTTTTCATTTACAACAAACTTTTTGTGTTGCTACATAAGCTGTCTAAACGTGTATGTACTGTAGTTCAATGGATTCGCTCAATGGATCCCATGTGTGTTACATGAGTGCGGCCAGTGACAAAGATACAATTTATCCCGGAAACGCAGATTCTAAAAAAAAAAGCAGCAGTACAAAATGCTTTGGAATATTACTTTCAAGTTAAACTTACACACTCTTGTGTCTGGTACTTGTGTCTACACAGCATGGCTCACCAGTCTGATGGACCCATGCAGCCTCTCTAACATTTGTGATTCATGTCACTATCTTGCACAATGCAAGGACCAGAATGGATCAAAGGCCTGCTTCTGCAATAGTGGATATACGGGAGATGGAACAACGTTTTGCAATGGTGAATATGAACAAACAATGCCACCCATACGTAACTGAGTACTTACAATGCCAGATGCAAGAGTATAACCAGCCTTGTGCGTAGCTGTCATGGAAGCCTTGACTATTTTAAGAAGCCTTTGTTGTTTGTGACTGCTCCTCATGAGCACATAAAAGCATTAGGCCAACATTTATAAAGATGTGGGATAATGTAATGGGGTTTTTTTGTACATTGACTTAACAGTGCAAAATAAAAAGGATGTAAGCAGTTAAAAAAATATCAGATTTTTGTTAATGCTTCTTAAAGATGCCTGTTCATGACAGTAATCTATTCAATTTTTACCAAAAATTTAAAAAGGGATCCACAAAAGCACAAATAAAACACTACGTGTGAGACAAATCAGCATCTTATGTACAGTTCTGCTCTCCTGTAAATGTTTGTCTCTTATAATCTAAAACGTTGGAAATGGTTGGGTCCCAATAAAATCCCACACATACTAGAATATGTTTAAAAATAGTACATATCGTTGTCCACAGATCTACAAGGGAACCATAGTGATATTTACATGCGATTAAACTTTTAATTAATTTAGCCATTTCAGAACATGAAGACACTATGTGGGTGGGTTTGAGTAAGATCTGTGTCCACCGTACCCTCTATTAGACGCAGTTTGTATTTGTTGGATGAGCTTTAGTGGTTTGGAACTTGCAATTTTTTTTATCTCCTACCAACTAGTTGGCAGCTCACCTCACTGAGTTAATTAGAGAGAACACAGTACAATGTGAAAAAATCCATGGTACAGCTTTATTAGTGACATATCTAATGGCCAGTGTTGCCTTTCAGTCAGCATTGTTACTCCTGTTATGTTTCTGGGCTGTTTAGAATTCCTGGAACCCTTTCTGTTTCCTGGCCAAACCTGATCACAATAATCGTACAGCTTACATACTTCAACAGCCAAAAGTTAATCAAAAAGTGAGTACTACAAACACTGTAGGGAATGATTTTAAAACAAAAAGGAACAGTGAAGTTCAGGGTTAATGGAGCCCCTATGTAGTAGCAGATTTTAAAATAATTACGCTCATTTGGTGTGGGAGTTAATTTTATGCAAAAGTGCAATGAAACTGTTCATGCCGCATTCACTTTTTTTGTGTGTAAAGGCTGAAGTAAGTTATGTGGGGATGCAAATGTAATTTTTAAGCTGATCCATTCAGTATCTACTTGATGATAAAACCAAAAAAGTTAATAATAAAATATGTGGGTGCAATGTTTGTGTGACAATGACGGTTCAAGGGTCTTGCGTGTTATGGTGGTATTTCCCCTTTGGACATAGTCACCTCCCTCATCAGTGCAGAGGATATCCCTTAGCGGACAGCTTTTGTGCAAAAGGTACAAAGGAGAGGAAGAGAACAGTGTTCATCATACCTACACAAGTGAAAACAACAATGGAAAGTCTTACCAGGTCATTTCCAATAAACTTTGGGACCAGAGACGGAAGGGGTGTTTTGAAAATAAAGCTGGAACAGCACTTTGTTATAACTTGTGGGCCAAAGCCGCATCCGCAGCAAACTGCTCTATACTGGGTGCTTTCTAAACCTGGGCAACAAAGTGAAACATGTTTTAAGTAACTTGAGTCAAACACAGGCAAACAACTGCTCAGCAATCACAAATATGAACAGTAAAAGCATATGAGTTAGGGCCAGCCAAGACTTTAAGCAAGTGGAGCCTGAGACAAGACCACAACCGAGCTCCATCAAGTTCAAATCAAAACCAGGACCCAGGATTCAGGTATTCTTAAATAATAATCTAATTGTGGAGGACAGTTCAAGTCAATATTTGTGTTAACATGTATTCAAAGCCAACCCCCTACCCCAAAGTTGCCTGTTTGATGGAGATTGGATATGGAAATATGCTATGGTTATGGTATGGAGTTAGTTTTCTAGACATGAATATGTGATTATTATAGGAAATCCATGTTGTTACACTGGTAATAATCCTACCAAATCATTGCTCCTGTTTCTATTTTTGGAAAACAGACGGTCAAATGCTCGCACCATGTCCCAAGCCTGTCATGGTAATATTGGTTATCCTTTTACTCAAGCAGAGATAACTCACTGCTCCATTTGAGTCAAACATAAGGGATTAACACCAGTTTTTGCTGTCAAAAAGCAAAAGCTTTCTGATAGTACAGCCATTTTGCATAATGTTAGCAGTTAGACAGACATTTCAATTTCTTCAGCAACTGCAGTCTAAAATGCAGATATCAGCTACAAGAGTTTCAGATTTTTGAGTAAGGAAAGATAGACTTTCAGTAAACTTGCACACATGCGTTGTCATTACACAGACAATAGAAACTTCCAGAACTGCTGTTTGCTACATGTTTAGACATTTCTCTAGAGTTTATTGAAAGGCCTTTTGGGAAACAAAGCAGTTTTTTCCAAATAAAGGATTACAAGAGTTTTATCTTGCTTGATACGTTAACATTAGTAAATATAAATCATTTTCCTGAATTTTTATTTGTAATACCAATGAGGAATATGTCTACATTAATCAATCACAATTAGCCTACAGTCACCTACTGCCAAATCACAGCAACATGAAAGGAGCTGATTCAATCCGCAAAGATGTTAAATTTTCTTTGCCCAAAAGGTTTTTAAGCCTATATTAGATTTTTTCCTATCTTTTATGTCCAGTTTATTTTTCTATCCCTGTCTTTTCACCACAGACGACAACGAGTGCCAGAAAGTGACTAATATCTGCGGGGACAGGGGGAACTGCACCAACACGTTGGGCAGCTATAACTGCAAATGTATATCTGGATACGCATCGACAGGAAAGGCCGACTTCTTGCCCAATGATGGCACTGAATGTATCGGTAATGTCTGAGTCTCTTACTCAGTATTATAAACATACAAAAATGTGTTTTGGTCACATTCTGTAATGATTAGTGACATATTGCTGTATAACCTCTTCTGACAGAGGACCTCACATTCAACTGAGCAAGATATCATGTGTACAAGTGTGAAAGCAGTTACCTCACAGCTAAGAGGGCATCCGGACTGTGTGTGTGTGTGTGTGTGTGTGTGTGTGTGTGTGTGTACTGTTTTCTCCTTCACTGTACTGGGGAGGATAAACAAGTTGGAGATTTTTCCCCCGGCTTTTCACTTCTTTTCCATCTGCTACTCACCTGAAATCTTTTGCTCCATTTGCAACAGAAGAACAACACCTTTCACCCATGCTATTGCATAAAGTATTCCTGCAGATTTCCAGCTGCGTGGTACACCCCATTTAATACAGTGCAGAAGCACGGAGCTGATTTTAGAAGCTGATTTATGAATATTCAAATGTGTAAAATGCATGCAAGAATTGCAGTTTCGCTTCCAAAATCAATTATACAGTGTATTAAATGTAATGAGTAGGACTACTTACTGTACACCACATTCTGTATTTGTATGAAGATAAATCATTAACTTCACTCCCCTTTCAGAATCACTTTCACTTTTCAGACGTATAAACGCTTTAGAGACTAGGCTGTTAACTTCTGTGTTTATTGTTTGGTTTATCAGTTATGTCGTGAGTGTCACTTTAATCATATTGTGTTTATCTTTAATTGGAGCTGAACTCTTCATTTGCATCTTTCAGATATTGATGAATGCATGTCGGGACCAGTCTGTGGACCAAACTCACACTGCCATAATACGAATGGATCCTTCTATTGCACCTGTCAGCGTGATTACGTCCCAACTTCAGGCACTAAGAACTTTCACCCTGAGGGAGGTGTAAGATGTAAAGGTCGGTATGAGGATGGAAGAGCGCACATGCGCGCGCGCGCACACACACACACACAACACACACACGCACTGGTACTTAAATCCAGGGACAGACAGATCTTTCTTCATCTCTTCTTTCTTTTTTTTAAACTTTCTTTCTCACATATCCACACACATACAGAACTAACATATTGGGGGGGAGAATCTGTTACAAACTCTTACATTTTCTGATGTTTTAAGCACCATTATTAACAAAGATATCCATGTGATGTTTTGCCTATGCAGGTTTTATGCAATTCAGGCTTTTGCTGTAACGTGTCTGGTGAGATTATGGAAATAAATTAAGCAATCAAAGAGATACTTTTGGTAATTGTTATTTTCCAGAGCATCCCCAAAAATACTGCCATGACAACATCGGGTGCATCACACAGACTGTCAACAAAACAATTGAATATGTAAGTAACCCTCCTCCAGATTTCAACCAAATAAGGTAAACATACATGTGATGACATTGCCCTCTGTTGGAGAGAAATGAGAAAAACATCAGATGAAAGGCTAAAACTGTATTGTGCACTTACAAGGACATACAACAGCTGCCACATGCAGTGCCAACCAGGCCTGGAATTTGACGGGCCACTTTTTTTGACCGAACAAAGGCCAAATGCCAGAGCATCAAGGCCATCAAATAAAACAATGCAATTTTAAGTCCACGAAAACTGTAAAGCTATGTTAAGGTTAAAGGATGATTTTATTTTTATTCTGTTTTTTATAGAATAGTTTGTTGATGTTTGTCAATAATTATAACCATTCATCAGGGACGCTGGAAGTCAGTCAAAGTTGGGGGTGCTGACATACAGTATAATTAAGTCATATTACTTATTGTGTGATATTCACGTTTTTTGTATATTAATTTGAATGCTCAGGATAACTTTTAATCGTTATTAACAACAATTTAGGCCTACAACCATTTGAGAACATTTCCATCCTCAGCAGACAGCAAACTTGAACACGTACATACTGTATGTCAAAGCAGCCACAGCAACTACACAGTCAACAACACGGAATTAATGCATAAGAACTGCAGGGAGATGCAGAGAAGGTGCTGGACAACAGAGAGGTGTGACCCACAACCAGTTCATCATAGTTTATAATAATGCAGCACAGTAAGGATACAGGCGTTTCATAGAGAATACAAGCTTCTGTCTGTCACTGTTATATAGATATATATACACAACATACACAGTTTTTATACATATTTTACACATACACAGACACTTCTGTCCATATTCATGCTCCATCTCTCTCGCTTGTCCACATGAGCTCTCTCGTTTGACACTATCAACAAAAGGCACCTGATATAGCTAAACAACCAACTCTACTTATCTCTACTGTCTTCAATTAAGCTGCAAAACCTTGACTAACAGTTGAACTGGTATTGAGGATCTTGTGGAGGAGGATGTGGGCTGGTGCATAATCAAAGTGGGCAGACGCAACTCTCTCGCTTTTGTTTGGGCTGCTAAAGCAACCCGGTGAAATCGAACCCACTGTGTGCGCAGCATTTGACTTGATGTTGCCCAATAAGAATTCAGAATCTCAACAAAAGACACTGTTGTTTAAAAACATAGGCAGAGGCGAAAAAGGCACAATTAGCTGGGGCAGTGTGGGCGGGGCATCAAGACCATTGTGGCTGCAGGGCACATCATTTTTTGAGGGGCATAAGACCAAACTGAGGGAGCACTGCAGCCATAGCCATCATGGGCTCTGTAAAATTCCTGGCCTGACTAAAAACAGCAGCTGTAAAAAAAATAAAATATAAAAATATAAAACAATAGAAGTAAAACTGCAACACTCATTGATGCTGACATGTCTAAACTGCTCCTACAACCTTCTTCGATCCTGTAGAAACAGCTCTTCCTTGTGGAATCACCAACTTGCGTATATGCACATATTGGAGACTGCGAGTGAGCTACATACCCCCATGATACCATGATACTATACTTTTTACAAATACTTTTTTTTCTCTGTCATAGATGAGCAACCTCACAGAGACCGAGTGCTTATTTAAGGAAATTGCCAAGCAGACGTCCGGCGAGCTCACCTCAGTGGAAGTGATTGCATATGTTGAGGTCTTGAGTCAATCCGCATTAACACTGGCTGCCGGGGGAAAGGATTACACTGTCAAACCATCTGTCATCAACTCAACTCTTACAGTAATCTTTGTTTACCATACTTGTTTCTCATTCAGTGTTTGGAGTTCTGCCTGAACTGCAGTTATGCTTTTAACAGGTTTAGAAAAAAATGGCACAGCATACAATCCATGTCCTTTTTCTCATGTACTGTGCAATTCTGCTAAAGACACTTTAGTACTTTTGTGTTATTTTGTGCCAATATATAATAGGCTATCTTTAGATTTTTGCATTAAGAGTATAGCGCTCACTGTTTTCTTCAAAAGCTGACCATTATAAATAAACCCTTCACTAACCTCTCCCTGTTTACATAAAGATAACCTACCTATGATTCAATAGTGGATACATATCTGTGATTGCAAAAATAATAAAAGCCACATCCTATTCAGTAATTATTGAAATATCAAACTAGACAAACATACATTAACATAATGTTCTAACCATAATTAAAACATATTGCAAAACAGCCATATGTTAAATGCTATGCTATTACACACATCATGCTGAAAACACTTTTTTTTTTAAAACAGAAATTAGTGAAAGCAGTAAACAACTTGGTGGAGAAGGATGAACTGGTGGCCTGGAGCCGAATTAAAGAGGAGCATAGGGAGTATACCATTACCAAGCTGCTACATACTGTTGAAGAAAGTGCCCTGACATTGGCCAACAACTACAAAACTCCAACTGAGCTCGAAATCAAAGCCACTGAAATGGGTAAGATAATTATTAACGCAGAGGGCTCCTACAGGCACTCAAATTATATTAAATTGTCCTGCCTATTATTCCCACCTGTGTGCAGAGGGGAGGTTTTAGATAATTGTCATTTTGATATTTTTAATTCCTTTATATGCCCAACTTTTTTTCTTCTTTCTCAACCACAGACTTGAAAGTCTTCTCCTTTGATGCTCGTCATATGAAAGCCAAACTGTCTGCTTCCATGGCAGGAAATCACATACATCTAACTCCTAAACTGAGACCAGAGGACAACAGAAATGGTAAAGCAGCCTAATTTAAATGTGTGTAAATCATCCATCCAACCATCAAAAAAAGTATTATGTATTATATCTTATATATATATATATATATACACACACACACACACACACACACACACATTCTTTTTTGTCTTTTTTTGTCCATCAGGAAGTGTGTCAGTGGTGTTTGTGCGATATGACAGCATCGGTGACATCCTGAAGCCGAGCAGTGACCCAGGTGTCACCGACTACTCGCGGTATGCTGGAACAGGGGAAATCACTGTCAACTCCCAAGTCATAGCAGCAGCCATTAAACCTGCTGACGTTTACCAACTTGAACATGTCACCTTCACTCTGAGACACAACAAGGTAAAGACTGTGCAGAGTGATGAGACTGGCTACATTGTTTTCCACTTCTGCACTTTTAATGTATACCTTCAAAATGTATGCTGCTTCAGAGTATCGGTGTTTCTGTGCAAAAGACAATCTGCCAGTGAGTTTTTCCAATCTAGTTTAGGGTGTTCTTCACTTAATGCTACCTTTTCTGTGTCATATATGATTCATTTATCAACATTAGCTTCCAATTGGGTCTTGTTCAGTTTGAAACATCAATATCCCATCATATATATCCTTGTCAGACTGAAGCCATCATTGCATTCTCTTTTGCTGTGACAGATAGCTTATAGCTTCCTTATTTCCAGACTTACTCTGGCAGTAACTTGATAACTGCCAGTGTTTCCATTAAAGTTAAATTTAAACAAACTCACATGGGAGGAGTAGTTAGTGCTTTGTGTAAAGTTTTATGAAAAAGGTTTGGCTCTGTGTATTTCTGCAATGACCTCTCAGTTAAGGGGAAATGGAAGAGGAAAGGTGAATAGATGAGGGAGGAAAGCGGGTAATGAGAGAAATAACCCTAAAAGTTAATGTACTGGTATTTTCTTTTAAGATAATTAAAATGTATGAGAAAGTGAAATCATTATTTTTGTTGGACCCTTGAGGCATAAGCCTAACAAAGGAGGTGTTGATTTATTTTGAGCAGTTAAAGTCCTCCATAAATTGCCTTTAAAGAGCAACAATCAGTAATTTGGACTCTTTTTTTGGACTTTTTCTGCTAGCAAAGATTTTCCTGTGATGCACTGTTTTTTTTTTCACAGCCTGAAAACACTACACCACATGTACATTCTTAGTGTGAACTAGTAGCTGTTGTGTGGGTCACTGCAATTCATGTAAAATTGCACATAATAATTTATGGAAAAAATGTTGACCTCTGCTTCCAAAATGTCCAAACTGCTGTACATTTGTATAGCCTGATGAGATTCCTTTCCCACAAAAATGCCTACAGTGAGATGCCAACCCCTTGGGGCATTGTGTGCAGCACACATGTCTGCGCTATTCATTTTGACCCAAAGTCATGCATGATAATTATTTTGAATTTTATTTTTAGCCAGTCATAAGTTGCGAGGTAGACAATAAGAATAATAAGAAAATCCAATACAAACGCAGCAATAATTGGACAACCTGTGTATCAATTTTAATCAAAAAATAGAATTAAACATATTTTCTTGTGCAGTAAAACTTTGGATGGATTCTAATCCATTTTAAGTGCTATTTTGATGAGACCGTTTTAACCCCCCTTGTGGTGTAGTATTACAAAGCAGTCCAGTACAAAAACTAATAAAAACAGCACCATCCACAGTTAACAGGGTCTTTGTTTCTCTTTATTCCCCAAAGCCCATAGACACTAAAGCTGATGTGACGAAGTGCGCCTTCTGGGAGTATAAGCCGGACAGCCTGCAGGGCCACTGGGCCACTCACGGCTGCAAGACTATCCAAGTCAACAGCAATGCAACCACCTGCTCCTGCAATCACCTCACACACTTTGCCATCCTCATGTCTTCTGGGCGAGCCAATGTGAGTGATCATACATTAAAGATACAACTGTACAGTGAGGAATTTCCTCTTTTGGCATTTTTCCACTTTATTTTCAATGAGGGCAAGATCTGAGCCTCATATCTTGAATCCACATGTAAAAGATTTAGTGAAACTTTGATTACTCTAATTTTTATCTTAATAAACAAAAACTAAAAAGTTTTATACAAGAGCTGCAGACTATTGAGCCCTTTCACCTCACTGACTAAACCCAGTATATGTTCTCATGTATTCATGACTGTTAAGTTTTCAACTAATGAGTAAAATACTGATTATGTCATATTGTATATTTCACCTTCTTAATATGTGACATATTTTTTGTGCTTAAATAGTTTATTGCTGCTGTCTCCCAAAAAATGTTGACTTTTCATTAAATAACAGCTGAAATTTCAGTGGCCGTGCATTTTCAGATAATCTAATGGGTTTTTAAATGGTTCATTCATTTTAGGAGATAGATAGATAGTTTTCTCAATCCATAAACTTCTCAATCCATAAACTTCCTGTTTATCTGGAAAATTCAAAATTTAATTAACATTACAGGAACACATATTATGAATGTTCTAATTGTTAGGGTGAGCAGCTCCTAAAGGCAAGGTGACTACACGTATTGACTGTCAAAGAAACTCTACAGCTATCCCCCCTCAACTTTCCAAGATATACTGCTCATTGTTTTATAGCACTAAACAGTGTCCCCAACATCCAAAATTTTCTCTCACTTGTTTGGGGAAATTTTGAGATTTGGGATCACTGCTTTAACTAAATGAGGAAGTATAATTATATATACATATTTGATTGAGTTAATTAAGATGAAACATGCAAAATAAAATGTTCATTTTCCCAAACATGCAACAATATCTGGCTGATATCTAATGAAGCTGGACCAGAACTGCCCCAGTATGCCTGCAACTCAACATATTGGTGTAACCCCAGCCTATTCCCATGTTATATCAAATGATTCCGAGCAGAAAACACAACAGATTACAACTTCAGCATACCGTGAAAGTGTGAATGACGCGCCTCCCTTTCCATTTGCTTCTCAGCTTGTGGCCCACTATAACGTCCTGACCCGGATCACGCAGCTGGGGATGATCATCTCCCTCATCTGTCTGTCCATGTGCATCTTCACCTTCTGGTTCTTCAGTGAGATCCAGAGCACCAGAACCACCATCCACAAGAACCTGTGCTGCAGCCTCTTCATGGCCGAGTTCATCTTCCTAGTGGGCATCAACATGAACACACATAAGGTGAGCTCTGAATGCACTTGAACCCAGTGAAATAAAGGAAGTCTCGGTTTGTGTGTGTGTGTGTGTGTGTGTGTGTGTGTGTGTGTGTGTGTGTGTGTGACCCATTTCATTCTCATTTGAGTTGAAAGCGTACATGGGATGGTATAGAACACATTTCTCTCACCTACTCTTTAACTCTCGCTTGTTATTCAGTTGAACGCCATTTATTTCTAACTTGATTTTTGACATGAGAATGCCAAAACATTAGCAATGCATCTCTGCATAGATTAGGCTAAACAAACATACTAATATGCAAAAAGTGCATATAGTTACATATCTATAAATTTATAAACTTGTTAAATCTTTGTCTCTCTCTCTCCCTCTCTCTTCTTTTGTATGCTTCTTGCAGCTTTTCTGCTCTGTTATTGCAGGGCTGCTGCACTATTTCTTCCTTGCAGCCTTTGCCTGGATGTGCATCGAGGGCATCCATCTGTACTTAATAGTGGTTGGCGTCATCTACAACAAAGGCTTCCTGCACCGTAACTTTTACATCTTTGGCTATGGAAGCCCGGCAGTGGTTGTGGCCATCTCAGCAACACTCGGCTACAAGTATTACGGCACTGATAAAGTGTAAGAGGAAAATATTTTTGCTTTTTGTGTACAGAGACGTGGGAATAAAAAGGCTTTTTTTCAAAGACCTCTTTTTAAACTCATTCAACATTTTTCAGGGAAGAAAGATAAACAAATTACATTAATTATAAATACAAGGGGAAAGAGATAATATTTGGCATGCAGGGACATAAATGGAAGTTGGAGATGCTTGTATAGAGTAAGGTAATAACTGAATTAGTGTAAAAGAATTTCTGAAAGGTTTTGGGTACCATGGAGAGTTTGAATAGAAATCTATAACTAAAAGTAAGTCAGTCGTATATTAATGTGACATAATAAACATAATTAAAAGATTGAGGTTATGCAAAAGAAGTGCTGATTGTGCATTACTGTGAGTAGAGGTAGCTTTAGTAACCAACTGTTTTTGTACTTGTGAGATAAGAAGGGCTAGACTATTGTATAGGCTGGACTAGCACATACAATATTGTCATAATTAAGATTAGGATAATACTGAAGGTATTTCTTCTGCAGGGGGAGGGATTATTGCATCACACAGTCAATAAAAGTGTTTGTTAAATAAATTCCTATATTTGTGTTATAGATGTTGGCTGAGCACAGAAAACCACTTCATATGGAGTTTCATTGGGCCGGCGTGTTTGATCATTCTGGTAAGATCAGATGTATTTGAAATATCCTAAAAATGACTGTTCAAGTTTTAATTGAAATCATCAAATAGGGACTATTTCATATTCATATGACTATGTTTGTTTTGGTCGGTCTCCACTAAAGGTTAATCTCTTGGCTTTTGGAGTAATCATCTACAAAGTGTATCGGCATACTGCTGTGAAAAAGCCTGAAATCAGCCACTACGAAAACATCAGGTAGGATTATCTGTACTCTTGTTGAGAAGGTCAAAAGAATATGGAAAATCAAGCTGTTAAGTTCCTCATCTGGTGGATTATTATGCCGTCATGTGGTGCTCTTGTATCAAATTACAATTTTTTTGACTAAAAAAGAATAATTTTTTTGTATTCACCCACATTCTGTTTAAGTCAATATTAATCGCCCTCAGGTCATGTGCCCGTGGTGCCTTTGCTCTGCTGTTCGTGCTGGGAGCCACCTGGACCTTTGGAGTTCTGCACATCCTCAATGAGACAACCCTCACCGCCTATCTGTTCACTATCACCAACGCCTTCCAGGGGATGTTCATCTTCATCTTCCTCTGTGTCCTGTCCAGAAAGGTAACAGTATAAATTTGGTTGGGCTTCCCTTGATTTATTTATTTCTATTTAATTATTCAACATCAGTCATGTGACAATATAGTTGGACAGTGAGCAGTTCAGATCGAGGCAATGGGAGTTAAATGCTTTTCTAACTGCATCATGATAGTGATAGTATGTTGATAGACAGGAATTCTTTTGCTATATTAAAAAAGGCTGATTTTATTAAAATATTGTATTATATCATACCAAGTTTAATTATTATGATTATCATCAGCATCATATTCAGGGATAATATCATATAATAACAATGATATGTTTTATCTTAATCCTACTTTCTTTTATATGTTGTTCCAGATTCAGGAGGAGTACTACAGGCTTTTCAAAAATGTGCCATGTTGTTTTGAATGCCTGAGATGAATGAATGCCACCAAAGCCTGATCATCTGCACCTGTACAATAACAGCCAACACTACAGCTCTGCAATGTCCTGTGACTCATGCTTTCTTTTTTGGAAAATGAGGTGGGAGGCATTGTTTATACAGATGTCTAATAAATGAAAACATGTAGCACATGTACTTTCTAAACGTCTTGTTTCCCTTTTAAAAGGTGATCTATACATGATTCCACAAAAGATATTTTTCTGAGAGTAATACAGGAATCAAAATATTTTCAGTTTAATTTAATGCCTTTGCAGTTATCAGCATTACACTCCAAGTATCTTATGCAGTCTGTTGTCTTTGTTCCTTTCTTGTGTTTGAAATTGATTTGTAAATTATTAAAATTATTGAAATTGACAGATATCTCTGCTGCTCACTTCTTTTATGTGCAAAATCAATGGTCTTGTGTAATGCATTCTTCACCCTCCCTTTCTGAACAACACACAACTAAGTGTACATTACATTAAGATGAATTGTTGTGAGGACTATTTCCATTCTCTCACAGATGACAAATAGAGGCCACTAGCTCCATCTACTGGACATAACAGGGAACACTCTTTCCACTGCCCTTACACTTGACACATAAACTCACAGCTGGCAACACTTTCTGTTCATTATATTTGCCTTCATGATCAGACAAATGTTCTTATTTACGCATCTTTTTGTGTTTGATTGTAGCTTGTTGGTCCATATGAGCTGTGTGATACAGGGCTGCCCATAGGTAAATATTGTGTTTGAACCTGTATTTCCTAGTGTTCTTGCCTTAATGCAATGTCTCCTAGCATCTGCCTAGGGTAGGACAACCAACTAAATTTATTGAGTTACTGACATTATGAATCTCTTCCTATCTGCAGCACATTTGCATTTTTTATTTTAACTGGGAAAACAGACAGAGACCTGGATCTCTTTTTTGGCGGTGCGCTGTGTAAACACGTTAACATGTACAGTAGACACATAAAAACATATATATAAAATTGCTTAAAACATACAAAACCAAGAAGTAAAATTCAAGAGAAACACCAGTGTGTCTAACTTTAGTTTGGTCTGTAGTTTGTTCCACACATATGGAGCGCAGGAACTGAAAGCAGTCCTTCCAAACCACTGGCAGTATGGAGATTCATACAATTAATAAACTGTATGAATCCCAAATAATTACACCAAGCATAATGACAGTATAACAATCAAAGATTTTTAATAAATTTTAAGAACTTAAATCAACCAAAAAGCCCTCAGACTAGTCTCTAACTGCTCATACTGTTATTAAAAAACATATCAGATCCGAGCCAATAGTGAGGCAATACAGGAATTATCATGCAGTATGCTAATTAATTATTAATGTATTTAATAGTAGTAATAGTTATCTTTACATTTCTTGAATGAGAGAATGGAGACAAGACATTGTCATCCTACAATAATCATTTTATCAAACTAGTGAGATAGCAGTATGTATGTCCTCATGTGCTCAGTAGTGGAGCCAGACTGTTTTTCTTTTGTTCCATAATCTTATATTGATTCATCTAACAGATTTTTGCATCACTGAGGACCCATCCAGAGGAAACTAATAAGACCATAACCCCTTAACCTGGGTGGACATCTTATGTTATGTATCAAACATAATTATGATTGACAGCTACCAATTACCACACTGAGATCATAATAGTGTTATACAAGACCTGACATTTATTATGTATTCATGTATTGATCATTGTTACACCAGGTGATTTTTTTTTTACTCCCCTTCTGCTGTGTAAAACTCATTACACATTATTAAGGCTAATCGTTGAGGCATGACAAGATGTTTCTTTCATTGTCCTGGCTCTCAGAATCTTTCTTCATATGTCCCAACTTTAAAAATAGCACTGTGTTTGACTGTCCAGTATTTTAAAACTCACTGGATTAGAAGAATACTGTAAATTGGTGTGCACTGAACTACAGTCCAGTTTAACATCCTGCTTGTGACAGAGAAACAAAGACCCAATTCAGCTGCTACAATGGAACTCACCAGAGGGCGCAAACACACCACTCTTCCAGTTAAAGTACTGAGGCTTATTAGCTCTAAAAAGCTTATAGCCTGTAGTAAAAAGTCCTGTCCCTTTGTTTAACAATGTGTCTGACTGTGGTCACTACAAACATATTGGTGCTGCTAACTGCTAATGCAAACATTTACATTTTTTGGTTTATAGTGAAGCAGCCATGAGAAAGGCAATCTATCTGTCATCGAATTAGCGGCAAGTAAAAAATAAGTGACCAGAAATATGGTGCTCTGTGGGGTGGCTAGACTTTACCCTGTACAAGCAAGCTCTGAGCCCATAAGTAATGACAATTTAGTTTCTGTCTCCATTAATAACAACATGTCGTCTTTTGCTCCTGTCAACTATGGTGTCCCTCAGTGGTCAGTTTTGGGACCAATTTTATTTTCTCTATACATGCTTCCCATGGGACATATTATGAATAGACATGGTGTTTCTGAGATATGTCCTCTAAAATAAGTGAAGACTGGTCTTGAGAGCTGGGTAACCATACAGTAGCTAATCTTGAACACAACTGTTAAAAATTGACAGCAGACAGGGTCCAATAGATTTAATGAGAAAAAACGTCTCGGGTTACGTCTGTAACCCTCGTTCCCTGAGGAGGGAACGAGACACTGCGTCGTTGAACAACTCTATGGGGAAGCTCCTCGAGCGCCCGCCTCTGAAGTATGAATGAAACTAATCCAATTCTAATTGGTGTCGTGCCGTGGCGCATCATGTGACAGCATACCTGGTGTAGTGTACCAACAGTGTGGATTTGTGCATTTTATATTAAATAATTTGGAGACTCAAAATTCCTCCTCTCTCTCTCTCTGAGAGAAGGAGTGGGGGGGTGAGATATCAACTCTCAACAGACGGCTGAAGAGACCCCAAAGGAAGAGGTGAAAGGTTCGCTCTCCCTAAGTGCTGTTTCTGGGCAGTCTGATCGTAAAACTGGCCTCGGTGCCTGACTGTTAAAATGACAAAGAAACACTGACCAGAGATTAGCGTTCTCCTGAACAGCCTATCGAAACTCTTCTTAAGAGAGGGCAGGAAACCCTAAACTGCCCCCCACACACGTAACCATGGCAACTGACCTTCCTCTTTGTTTGATTACCTCACATCAAAGGATATTCTCCTTTTCACAGCCAGATGTAAATTTGGGAGAAACTCCAGGACACCAGAAGGACAGCCCTAAATTCCTTTGTGTAAACAGAGCACTGTCTCCTCAAGACTCAAAGCATTACCTTGTTTAATTAAATAATCTTTAAGTTACTCAACTAGGTCTCCCCACTCCATTTTAGTAGTTATGTTACCATGTTGTTGTTGTTGTTATTCGTTGTTGAAAAGAATCTAAATAAGTTAATTTTGCAGTATTTTAATTTTCAGCAAGGTCATCTGACTTTATTCATTTTATTTGTAACCAATGCTTTGTTTGCGACACTTCCTTTAGAAATGATGATAAAGAAATCATACCCGATTAATTTTCTAGCTCGAATTTAATAATAAAATAACTAAATTGACAAAATTTCCCAGCTCCTGAGCAAAGATTGTTTTAGGGTTAATCAAAGCTATCCTCATGTAACCCGAGCTCCCCCAAGTGGACAAAATAAGTATTACATGCCATCGTCTGAAATGCCGTTTAATGTATAAATGTCCCTCTGTATTTATCCTGTCCAATAATCTGATGTCATTCGTGTATCTTGCTTATATTCTCTAAGAACGTGTAACAGCCAATATATCCAGAAAGCTAGTTAAGTTCCTCTCATCTGTGATTCTGAAAGGTTAACCTTAAGGTTGAACTACTGACAATTGTTTTCCTTTTTATCAAATGCTTAAAACTAAGAACAGTACAACCGTTTGACAATTAAGGTTTGATTGTGGGAAGATATTTGATTACATGCGCCAGGCATACTAGGGAGGTGCAGACTATAAAATCTGATAAAGGTGTGCGGGGAAGCCCAACCGGCCGCCTCACAGATCTCCCGGAGGGGCACTCCGAAGTGGAGGGTCCTAGAGGACGCCATGCCCCTAGTAGAATGGGCCCTGACGGCCAAAGGTGAGGGCAAAACGCGCACCTTGTAGGCCGAGGAAATCGCCTGAACGATCCAATGACTAATGGTCTGTTTGGACGCGAGGAGCCCCTTCTTAGGTGACCCAAAGCACACCAACAGTTGGTCCCACCTCCTCCAGGAAGAGGACCTCTCAAGGTAGACCCTCAAAGACCTGACAGGGAAGAGCAAATGAAACCTTAACTCCGCCAGGGGCAAATTCCAAGCAGGCTGGCGTCACTGCCAGGGCTTGAAGATACCCCACCCCCTTAATAGAGGTAATGGCCAGGAGGAATGCCATCTTGAATGTGAGGTCACTGGGCGAAGCCGACTGAAGGGGTTCGAAGGGAGCCAAGGACAGCCCTTCGAGAAGCACCGCCAGCTCCCAGGAGGGAACCCTGGACCTGCACCACAGAGAAAACGTATGACCACTCGGTGCCTCCCCAAAGGCCCGTCGCTCAGCAGGGCATGGAAAGCCGCAATGGCTGCCAGGTACACCTTAAGCGTGGACGGGGAGAGACCCGCAGAGAACCGATCTTGGAGAAACTCCAGAACTGAAGCCACTGGGCAGTTCACTGGGTCCAACTCACGTTCCCTACACCAACCGGAAAACACGTTCCACTTGAGGCCATATAATCTCCTAGTGGATGGAGCCCTAGAGCTAAGTATGGTTTCAATCACCCCTGCCGATAGACCAGCATCTATGTACTGGGCCCCCTCAGGGGCCAGACCCACAGTTTCCAGTTTGGCCCCAAGTGGAACGTGTTTTTTTTCAGAATATGCAGAATCCTGCATATTGTGACTGAACATCCTACTGTGAAAAACATCATTCTGCACATCGGGGCCAATGATGTTGCGAAGCAACAGTCTGAGGTGTTGAAAGAGGACTTTAATAATCTGTTGAATGAAAACTTTTACTTTCTGTTGGACCGCAGATATCTTTTTAAGGCAGATGGACTTCACCTTAACAAGTCAGGAGTAAAATTGTTCAGCTCCAACCTGTTTTACTTTCTGCCTCAAGAAGAAGACATAACATGCCAGAAACCTTGAAGGAGAGCCACCTCAGCCCCATCTTTATCACCCCAATCACCATCTAGGTCACCCTTATCTCCAGGAAAATAGCACTCATGACTCTTCCCAGGACAAGCCGGGGCCCAGTGTGCTAGTAGTCTTCTCCATCCCTGTCTTAGGTAACAGAAAAAGCATGGTGAATGTGTTAAGAAACAGGAAGCACTCAACATACCCTGCAAAATTAGTATTAATTCCTCGTCAGCCGCAGCCTGTCGAAAAAAGTGGA